ATCAGGCACAGGAATAATGTCAGTCCGGCGCACGGCGCATTTTCGCCCAGTAGAGCGACGACTTCAACAACTTTCGCCCAACAATTTTGCTCAGTAAAACACAAGAATGATAGAGTATTCTCTCAATCGTGAGTAAAACACAACTACGATGACAACGAAATCAGCTACTCATGACAAGGTACAATTAAAATGTTTACTACCAACAAGATTATTATTTTTTAACAAAATCTAATACAGCATTTTTATACCCGACCGCATTTGTGCACAAGGTTATTAAAACTTTGTTCACATAACGGTTGTTTGTAACAGCCACAACTAATCGAGATAGATATAGACAAATGTATACATGAATGATCAGAATGAAATGAGAAGTCGATTAAGCCATGTTTGTCTGTCCGTCCGCCCGTCTGTGTACAAGATAACTCGAGCAAAAATTGAAATATCTCAACGTGTGTAGATTGCCCTTTACCCAAGGCAGGTTGGTATTAAAAATGGGCGAAATCCGACCGTAAACACGCCCACTTCGCATATAACGATAGTTTTAAGAAATACGAAAACTGCGATATTTTAGTAACTAATGAAACTTATTCACTGAAAACTTATAACGGGTGATTTTTTAAGAGCTTGATAACTTTTTTTTTAAAAAAAACGCATAAAATTTGCAAAATCTCATCGGTTCTTTATTTGAAACGTTAGATTGGTCCATGACATTTACTTTTTGAAGATAATTTCATTTAAATGTTGACCGCGGCTGCGTCTTAGGTGGTCCATTCGGAAAGTCCAATTTTGGGCAACTTTTTCGAGCATTTCGGCCGGAATAGCCCGAATTTCTTCGGAAATGTTGTCTTCCAAAGCTGGAATAGTTGCTGGCTTATTTCTGTAGACTTTAGACTTGACGTAGCCCCACAAAAAATAGTCTAAAGGCGTCAAATCGCATGATCTTGGTGGCCAACTTACCGGTCCATTTCTTGAGATGAATTGTTCTCCGAAGTTTTCCCTCAAAATGGCCATAGAATCGCGAGCTGTGTGGCATGTAGCGCCATCTTGTTGAAACCACATGTCAACCAAGTTCAGTTCTTCCATTTTTGGCAACAAAAAGTTTGTTAGCATCGAACGATAGCGATCGCCATTCACCGTAACGTTGCGTCCAACAGCATCTTTGAAAAAATACGGTCCAATGATTCCACCAGCGTACAAACCACACCAAACAGTGCATTTTTCGGGATGCATGGGCAGTTCTTGAACGGCTTCTGGTTGCTCTTCACTCCAAATGCGGCAATTTTGCTTATTTACGAAGCCATTCAACCAGAAATGAGCCTCATCGCTGAACAAAATTTGTCGATAAAACACATTTCGAACCGAACACTGATTTTGGTAATAAAATTCAATGATTTGCAAGCGTTGCTCGTTAGTAAGTCTATTCATGATGAAATTTCAAAGCATACTGAGCATCTTTCTCTTTGACACCATGTCTGAAATCCCACGTGATCTGTCAAATACTAATGCATGAAAATCCTAACCTCAAAAAAATCACCCGTTATTTACAATAATCTTTAGACGCAAAATCAGAATATTAAATTTTTTTTTGGAAAACGGGTGTAGCCACGCCCATTTATGATTACATGTATATATTTTGGTAACCGCTAAACTAATTTCTCCCAAACTTGGCACAGTTGATACCTTTACTACAACATACCAAACCGCTGAAAATTTAAAAAATCTGACAATAACACGCCCACATCCCATATAATGGTAATTTAGAGAAATACGAAATCTTCGATAAATCAGTAATTTATTTAAAATTGATGTTTGCGATTATTATTTAGCGAAAAAACACGTTTATGGTAAAATTTTGGAAAATGGGCGTGGCACCGCCCACTTATGACCAGGTATATATCGTCGCTGGAATATTGAAATAGTGTAACATGAAAAGTATAGTTTTGAGAAAAACAAATTGGAAGTTTTTATAAGCCATTACAAACCATACAAATACAATTTCGTTTTTCGGGAATAAATTAGTGAGCCAAAGAGATATTTAAGAAAACTAAAGATTTTTCTAATAGATTAAAGGATTGTCTATCCAATGGTGCAATTATCGAATAATAGTGTATGTGGCATTTACACTGTTTCTTTATTCGAGCGACGATATATCTCGGTAACCGTTCGATCAATTTGTACAAACCTTTGTGCGAATATTTCGCTTACCACATAGAAGCAAAACATTAAAAATTATTGATATCGGACTAAAACTACTCCCAATTTTCATATATCGGTAAATTTCAGAAATTCTTGAAACTTCGATATTACGAGTTTTAATGACGCTAATTTACTCAAAATTGGTACTAACATCAAACCCTTTATTATTGTAGAATTTTGGAAAAAAGCGTGATACCGCCCACATCGAGCCATATACATAAGTTTATCTCATTAAGTATAACTGTGTTTTAATTTTTATAGCGATTATTCGCGGCGAAAAATTCGCCATTCGCCGGCATTGTGTGTCAGCGATTTATAAGAGCTTGAAAATGGGTATATGAAGAATAGTTACTGAGGTTTCCGTGTTTTGCAGTTGTACCATTATTATTATTATGAGCCTTGAGCACTGCGACCTCTAGGGTGGTCTATTGTGCGTGGTCCTTTACCCTATATATGAAGGCTTTTAATATAAGCTAGCACTTCGGTGGGCTTTTTGTTCCATATTTCGAATGGATTAAGTGTTGTACCACCTAGGTGAGCGAGTCTGCGTCTAGCGAGAGCAACACATTCACAAAGGATGTGTTCTGGCGTTTCTTCGTCCATCTCACAGAAGCGACAGACGCTCGTGGTACCATAGTGGCTCTTCAAGGTTGAAGTGAGTTGGTTATTTGCACCGGCTGCCACACCAACCTAACCTAACCTATCATTGAGAAAAATTACAAATAAACGTTCTTTCCGTGAAAATGGGAAAATTGTGGAAACTCACATCACCATCGGATAGCAATACGTTAATCGCGCGAGAAATCAACACTCACAATACCATCGATTGTCGATAATCGGATAACAGTCGTTTATCGATTTTCTCAAATATAAATAAATGATAAGGAAAATTATTCTATGAACAACAAGAAATTTTATTTGAGTTTATTTTTATGACGAAATTTACCGGCCATTCAGACAAGTAAAAATGTTTGTCTTGGGAGCCTTAAAGACAACCATAACACTTTTATAAGACAGTTATACGACAATCGATTTGTGCTAGTGATATACCGTTGGAAAAATATAACAAAAGTCTACGTACCAAATTAATCTTAAGAAACGGCTTTCGAGTTTTATTAAACGACGTTTACTGTTGAGTGCAGAATAGCTAACATCATTGTAGTAGTATCCGACTGAACGTTCGGATTCGGGCTCGAGTACCGAAAGTTCGGCCATGAAATGAAATTATAAAAACTTAATTTAAGTGACTCTGTAGCGTTTCTGTAATTTGATTTTATTGCTTTTTTATGGCAACTTTCTTATTTCTAGTCGTTCTTTTAATTTTATTTCCTTCCGGAAGTTTTAATGCCCGATTAAACTTTTGGCAAGTTAAATTTTCAAATTGCTTGCAATTCGATGTCTAATTGAGAAAGAAATTTTAGTTAGAAGGAACTTTCTGTCACATTTCGGAAATCAGTTTCAGAAATAACAATTGCAAAATGTAACTGCAATTGAAAGAGCGAATATCGATTTCGAAAATATATTTCAACTTGCTCGCACTGCACTAGCAATTTTTATTTCTGTTGCAAAACTCGAGTTCGGTCGGACACTAATTTGTAGTTATGACGTTTGCTTTTGATATGAGAGATAATTATTTTGAGAGATATTTTGCAAAATTTTTAAAAATTTACATAGCTTGAAACATATTTTTAGTCAGTGTTCAAAGTGGAATGAAACAATTTCACCTCTTTTTCTTATAAAATTTAATATATTCTCACTATTTTATTTGCACGAAAAATTACTCACAGCTCAAATTTTCTTTTATGCGTTGCATCGAAATGCAATAATTCCTCCCTATAACTGCACGCATACATATGTATATATGTAAGTATGTATGTATATAAACTACATAAATAGGTATTATGTACGTATGTAAGTAAATATGTACTCTGTCGAGATAAATTTGGCCATCTTTCATAAGAAACTATTATTTATTGGTATTTTGCTATTGTTAATGCCACTGTTTAGCCTGTGGTTGTCTTGCGATGACACAATTTTTTCTAAGCCGCAAAGCTTGTGCGCCGATTATAAAATCTCAGCAAAGTTGATTATAAAATTCCGCATTGAATGCTTATGTACATTTAAAAAAAAACTTTATAAATAAACAGCGACAATAACAAAAATGCACAGCCAACAATAGATATTGCTAACAGAAATATGGATGTTTATGTGAATCTCAAGTAAAGAACGTCAACAGCAACAACAACAATAACAACAGCGGAGTGGAGCCAACAACAAAACAAGTTGGCAGCACACGCAGTCAGTTAGCCAGCCAGGCTGTTTACTACATATGTATGTTTTTGTGTATTGTATATGAGAAGTCAGCTAGCCAGCGAGTCAAATAGCAAGCCAGCCACTTCTTGCTGCATGCCACATCTCATTATTTTTGTATGTCTGTCTGTACATAATATATCTGTCTGTCTGTCTGTCTGCACGAACATCCAGCCAGTTTTTGTTTGCATTTGTGTTTTCTCCATTTGTTTTCGTATTAGCTACGTTTGCACTTTATATATTCTTTGCATATTTTTAGCTATGAATTTTGTTGATTTTTACTGCATTTTTTACAACACTCACACATAAACATAAATTTTTTTTTATTTCGTACATATTACAAACACACCCACAAACACATTTTTATTTGCCTTCACTCGTGCTTCTGCTGCTGTGGCTGCTCGTAACTACCTGCTGTTTGGTTTTTACTATATTTATAACTTTTTTAATAAAAAACGAAAAAATTAATTATCAAAAACACAAAACATCATTACGTTTTGATTTTACAGCGTCTGCTGTTGTTACTTGCTACTACAACACTTATTTCGTGCCCATTTTCGCACTCGCGTATTTACTTTTCGCCTCACTTCTCACTCCGCAACAGTTCGCGTAATGGACAATAATGGTATTTATTCAATAGCCAGAAAGGTACATTTTTCGGCATTATTCATTTAAGAATGCAGTGATCTGTGTTAAACTTGATTATTACTGCAATTCTTGTTTGCAATGACACGTTTCTATTTACTTTTAAGTAAACTATTTTCTTGTTAATTTTCTTGCTAAGCGTTAGTAGTACACTCGATTTATGCGTGCACGACACGTACGCGTACCCCTTCAGATACGTGAATACAACTCAACTGGTTTCATTGGTTGGCCGTTCATCGCTTGCTAGTCAATGAATGGCAATGCCCGACAAGTCTGGCTACATGATGCCGATGAAACACATCAAACATGTTCGCTCAATATGTTCGAAGAGCTCCAATTTTATTGGAGCAGAGTTGCATTGTTGGCGCTTGGCGCTTTGCTTTCTGTATATCGTCTATCTTACGGCACTCAAATTTTACAGGAGAGCGAAAAAACGGTTTTTCTTTGAAGGCATCGCCTTTCGAGTTTATGATTCTTATGCATAAATTTCGATACCTGGAGTTCAAGGTTACCAAATCTCATTTTTGTCACAATGGCGATTTCGGCGGTTTTGCAACTAGTCAAGGGGCGGTTTTGCAAAAACATCGACGATATGTATATAGTATGTAGTAGGCGAGGTCAGGATACACACCGGCAAAAAAAGTAAGCATTGTAAATGTCGCACACTGACGTACTGAAAATAGTTTCAATTGGGTAGGTGATTACTATGTAGAATACAACTTCAGTTTTTTGATATGTTGTAGCTGTATTAGATGCCAGCAAAAATGACATTTTAACAAAATAAAATACAGTTGAGTTCCTACGCGCCACACAGGTCGGATTCACTAAACTAGCGGGACAAAATGTAAAAATCAAAGGCATACGAAATGCGTCAAAATGGCATGACTTCCCTCTCAATACAATAGATAACTGTGATTCATATTTTGTTCTTTGATCTCTTTCACTAATTAAACAGTATTAGGCATATATGTAAGTCGGCTAGTCGATGCAAGTCAGTTAGCTGTAGTAGGAAAACAGATTTTTTGTGCGATTTCGATTAGCTATTAAAAGTGCAACGGTTCGTCTATTGCAACATTTTGTTTTTCATGAAGAGAAGTGATTACCGGTAAAAGAAAAACTATCAGCCTTATTCTGTATCACGAACGATAGGCAATTATTATTATTATTATTAAGCGCATGCACATATGTGCAACATTTTATGTAGAAACGAAAACGCCGTGAATTAACATTTTAAAGTACGAAGTTCGATTTGCCTTATCTGCGTTTCAGTTTTTATACCTTTCATCAGCATGAAATGGTATTATAACTTTGGTCCGATGTTTGTAAGTACCAGAATAAAAAGAGACAGACCATTAAAATGTATAGTTAAATGATCAGAACGTTGATCTGAGTCGATTTAGCCATGTCCGTCTGTCCGCCTGGCTGTCTGTCCATCTGTGTGTATGCAATCTAGTCTCTCAGTTTTCGAGATGTTTATAATGTATTAATCATCTGTCGCAACCAGAAGAACTGGACCACTATAATATATAGCTCTCATGCAACTGATTGTTCAGATATGGGATTTTTCGTTATAACTTCTCCATTTATGCTGCTAAGAACATGAAATTTTGCAATACTTCCAGAGTGAAAATTACAAAGATCGGGTCACTATAACCTATAGCTCCCATACTACTGATTGTTCAGATATAAGATTTTTCGTTATAACTCCTCCATTTAAGTAGCTAGTAATATGAAATTTTGCGCTGTTGTCACTCATTAACGAAATAATACTTTCAGTGAAAATGGCGAATATCGGGTCGCTTTAACTTATAGCCTCCATACAACTGATTGTTCAGATATGAGATTTTTCTTTATAACTTCTCCATTTATGCAGCTAGGAACATGAAAATTCTTACCGTTTTCACTCATTATTAACAGAATATTTACAGTGAAAATAACAAAGATCGGGTCACTATAACATATATATGACCCATTTTGCGGGCTAGATCAGGGGAAAATCATGGGCAAACGTGAAGGGGGCAACAAATCTTACTAATACACTTATACCAATGAGAGCCAGTGCACACGCATTCTGGAGTAAAAAGGCCCACTCTCCCAAACGTATGCCACATACACTCCTCGTCATTTGAATAGCTCAACTTCTTTATCTTTAGTATTTACACTTTTAATTTTGTTTATTTAGTATTCATTACATCCGATTTTTAAACTTTATACAAAGTTAAAAAAATGTCAACAAAGGGGTACAATAAAGTGCAAGTTTCAAGTGTCGGTAAAATAGCGGTGATTTTTGACAATTTTTTTGGTGATGGTGCTGCGCATTTTCTCTCATACAAAGTATGCTCGACAAAATTTTTATATGGAATAAAATGCGCAGCACTGTCAATTAAAAATAAATAAATTTGAAAAATCGGGGCTGTTTTAGAGTCACTTCAAACTTGCACTTAATTACACTATAATTGAATGGGCTACAAAACTGCATATTCGAAATTTTTCTAAAAATATTGTTAACTTATTCACTGCAGGTCATTAGGATGGCACACTCCTATGTTGACCTTTTTTAAGAACTGTTTCCAGCTCTCAAGAAAAACGAAAAAATCATATAAAATGCTGCCCAAGAAATGGAAAAGAAATTTTCTTTTAAGTTTGAATTTTTAAAAAATGTTTTAAATTGCATTTACCCGTAGAATATGCTATATTTTTACAAAAAAATGTATATTAAATAAACAAAAGGAAAACTGTAAATACTAAGACATTTCATAAGATGTAAACGAAATAAGTATAATACAAAACGTAAAAGAGTGCAAATTTTATTGAAATCTAATTTTTAAGTTTTGTTCTATAACGTTAAATATGCGTATTTATTTTTATCTTTTGCTACGATTTTTTATTTTTTACTACGATTTTTCAGGTCTTTTGCTACGCAATCGGTTTCGTGAGGTGCCAACCCTGGTCAGCGCACTCGCGCCGTGGCACCAACGTCACTGCTGGCAGTTGTAATTTCGAGAAAGTGGAATCCAGCATTAACACCAATAATAATATTAGCATCGAAATTCAACATAGAATCACTCTTGCCAATAAGTGCTACTTCGGACTAAGTAGGCAATTAAGGAGTAAAGTCCTCTCTCGAGCATGGACAAGGCCAAAATCCGATGAGGGGGCTCTTGGGGTATTCAGAAGATAGATTTTGCGGAAGATCTACGGGCTCTATATGCGTTGGCGATGGCGAGAACCGCAGACGCTGGAATGATGAGCTGTATGAGCTTTAAAACGATATATACATACATAGTGCAGCGAATTAAAACACAGCGGCTCCGTTGGCTGAGCCATGTCATTCGAATGGACTCCAACGCTCCAGCTCTGAAAGTATTCAACTCGGAACCCGCTGGTGGTAGCAGAGAAAGAGGGAGGCCCCACTGCGATGGAAAGAACAAGTGGAGAAGGACTTGGCCTCACTTTTCATTTCCAATTGGCTCAGTTGGCGTGCTTTGTTGAACTCGGCCGAAATCGTTTAGGCGGTTACAGCGCCAAATAATAAGAAGAAGAAGAATGTCACATTAATTGTCTTACAAATTAAATAACTATGGCAAAAGCGTATCCAGATGGTATTGACACCAGGTCAGTCAGCGAAGCATTTTCCAACTTAGAGAAATAAATACAAATCGGTGACTCTTATCGCAGGGAGGACAGGTAACGAATAAAAATAAATGTGATGATCATGTTCGGGTGAAAAGATCTTAAAAATTGGCACCCATGGATAGGCCAGAAAACATGGGCTCTCACAAAACAATGGAAGGTCCTATAACAGAAGAACCTGTCTACACTTGCGATGGGCAACTGGCCCAACATTACAATTTGACGATCTTTTTTGGTCTCGCCCAATGTTACCAGGTGTTCGACATGATAATACGTTCAACTTAATCTGAAAAAACGTCATTTACTCCCAAAATGTAAATACTTTGCCTGAAGTTGTAATGTTGAGCGCAGTTCCCTCAATGATCTTTCATTTCTGAGCCGGCGTATCTAGCGCCACATTAAGTAATGTCCCCAATTACATAGAGGTATCAAAATGAAAGATCGGCTTAAACAGAGCAAATTATCATTGTTCAACGAAAGGCACCCAAAATTTATTCACCACGCACTTATTTATTTTATTAAGGAGTATGTAAATAATACAGGCAATTTTATGAAAAAACTCAAATACATATGCATGTATATTAGAGTGGTTCAAAAAAAAACTATTTTTGAAATTCATAAACGCTACATCAAAATATTGTTATTTGAGATAAAAAAAGAGACTCGTATTTTTTTATTTTGGAAAAAAAAAAGTTTTTTGGAGGTCGCGCTAGCCGTTTTTTATAAAACGCTGATGTTTTCAATTTTTCTTTTATTTTCGTGACATGCTAAAGTGCAGCTAAAAATGTGGTTTTTACATATAATTACTCAAGTATTATTGGGGAATATTCCCTTACTTACATACCTGTCTAAAAATCGGCCTAGTGCCCGAAAATATGCTTTCGGAAAGACTCTGCTAACATTAAAAAGTTGATATTGAACGTTTTAAGCATTGTCATGGGTTCAACTCATTTCCAGGGGCTTTCTGGAATCGCAGATTACGCATCTGAAGTCAGTTTTTCAAAATTCAAAATAATACCAATTTGTTCGAAGCTCTGCAGTCGGGAGTTTTTGGGGTCGCTTACTTGCTCTAGTAAGGATTAGACAAGGATTAGAGACATGAGCCACTGAACAGTAGTAAGGCAATTTATTTTTTGAATTTTGAATTATCCCGTTATTGCAGAAGACCATCGATATGTAAAATAGAAAACTCCTAAAACTTGTCGCAAAGTTGCGATATCGATACCCAAATAGTCTAGATATGTGGTTACAAATTATCACTACAAGAATTGATCAATTTTCAATTAAACATTAAGATTTATTTTGTAACATTCGAAGTATTAAGGCTCATTTAGATGAAGCCTTTGCTTCGTTCGACTCAAAAGGATTACTCCGTAACTGGAGTTGAACTTTGAGAAATAAAAATACTTTTTGGCCGATTTTCTCACACATACGCTTCCTTACACATATTTATTTTGTACACTTGTACAGAATGTCAAAATGTACAGATCTGTAATCATGTGATTCCTGCTTTATAGCCTCCATTTTCCGTCTGTTTATCTGAAATGAATGCTTGGTGCGCACG